TTCACTAACCAGACAATACTTCTTTATAAATGAAACAAGAATTTATTGGCTATTCTAGATTACATTAAACTAAGCTACACAAACACATACACACACACACACACACACACACACACATACATTTATGAAGAATGAAAGTTAACGGAGAACACTCCAAAGAGAAAGGAAAACTTGAAATCGCATCATATGACCCCTTTAAGATCAATTCAGCACCGATTTCAGCAGATAGAAGACTTCTGTTTGATACTTGCGTTTGTGACAGCTGAGAAGTGGAGGGGTTTCCTCGTTGGCTGCTTGAGGGAATCCCTTTTGATTGGTTGCTGGTCGGGCGTCTGGATGACGTAGTTTCTGGGAATGCCCTCGGTGGTGATTGATTGGTTGCCTGGTGACACAGAGGCTTTAGCAGTTCTTCTGAGAGAGTTTAAGTTTGCAAGACTTGAGGCTTTTGACGATCTCTGGCAGTCACGAAGTTTCAACTGAAGTGTTTGAGTTTTGGATGTCTTGAGTGTTTTGAGTCTCGCTCGTGATGTTACGGCATGGGAGCACTTTGTCGCGCGGTCACCAAGGCGAAAAGCCACAGTTCTAGAGAGAGAGAGTGAGCGAGCCACGAGGGCTTTGTGTCCATTTTTAAGCAGGTTGACTTTGGTCCGCCCCTTGACGCGATCTTCCAATCGGACGCTGTTGCAGGGCTTAGCCATGCCCTGTGTGGTTCCTTTTTCGTGCACAAGTCACATGCTCCCATGGGGAGTATTTCTGGAAGTTTTAAATAACTTCTGATAAAAGTAATATCACCAGAGAATGATACCGAATATAAAATTTTCACTAACACCAATGTTCGGCGAATAAAACAAGCTTTCATTCAAGCTCAATATCGGGTAGTTTGCATACACATTAATAATCTTAATTACTAAAAGGGGTTATAAAACATTGGTTAAAAGCTAGAAATGAGAGAAAAATTAAAGTTGACTATACACTACCAGTCAAATGTTTTTGAACAGTAAGATTTTTTATGTTTTTTAAAGAAGTCTCTTCTGTTCACCAAGCCTGCATTTATTTGATCCAAAGTACAGCAAAACAGTAACATTTTGAAATATCTTTACTAGGCTATTTCAAATAACTGTTTTCTATTTGAATATATTTTAAAATGTAATTTATAGTGATTTCAAGCTAAATTTTTTTGCATCATTATTCCAGTCACACTATCCTTCAGAAATCATTCTGATATTCTGATTTGCGGCTCAAAAAACATTATTAATAATAATAATAATAATAATAATTAAAAAAGGTTTATTGAGCAGCAAATCAGCATATGATTTCTGAAGGATGTGACATTGAAGACTGGAATAATGATGCTGAAAATTCAGCTTTGATCACAGCAATCATTTTAAAATGTATTCAAATAGAAACCAGTTATTTTAAATAGTAAAAATATTTCACAACATTACTGCTTTTGCTGTACTTTGGATCAAATAAATGCAGGCTTGGTGAGCAGAAGAGACTTCTTTATAAAATATTCAAAATCTTACTGTTCAAAAACTGTTGACTGGTAGGTTATATAGATTACAGAAATGCTATATTGTAATGTTTATATATATATATATTATTTTTTTTTTCTTTTCTTTTATATAACATTTCTGTCCCCCTCACTTCTGAAATGATGGCTACGACCCTGATCTCGCCTTCGCTTTTATTTCGGACCATCGCCAAAAAGACATTAAAAAACTAAACATATGATTTACAAGTTTAACATGCGTTTATCAAAGTAGGAAATAATTAGTGTTCTTGAAATATGAAATTGGGGCGGGTCTGGACTGAATTCCCTCCGGGTCCGGATCGGAGTCCGGACTTTGAGAAGCACTGCTCTAGGTCATCAGCATCAGATATTTCAGAATCTGAATCAGCACTAAGAATTGCCTGATCTTTCTTATCATGCAGCATCTCTACAAACATTTCAGCCATTAATCTAGAATGTCTGGGATCAACCATACTAACACTCTGGATAAAGAGTGCACAACAAGCAGTTGATCATGTATATACTGATTATATATTGTCGCTGTCAGACAGAAACCCTGTATGTCCAAAATCATTACCTTTCAGGAACACTGGCAGACATAAAGCGTGACCAATATCACTGTTTTATGACAAAAAATACAAATGATGAAATGTGGAGATACGAGGTTTCTGCTTGACAGCAATGATATATACTTGTAAATAATAACGTATTATCTTGACTTATTTTGTTGACCTAGATAACATTAGTTAGCTAGAATAGAATGTTTCAACAACAAGCTAGATAATAGTATTGGACATGTTTCTCTGTCTCACTAGTAATAGATTTCAAGGTCAAGGTAACCTTAGCCTAACATTCAAATATTATATCCAGTTATCTTTCACGATATATCAAATATTTTCTGTGATAACTTATAAAAGACTAAATGCATCAATTATACAAGAGCAGCCATGTCGAGTTGTGAAATGTGGGGCAGGTGAATTGTTTTCAGCAGTAAATAGGTTCCTACTTCCAAATATCAAAGGTTTCTCTATATGGGTCCTTTTTGACCCATATGTGTAAAATTGATGTAGAAATAGTGGATTTTTTTTATAAAGTAAAGGACAAATAAACAATGATTTGTGGAAATCAAAAACTATATATTTAATGAATACCTGGAATAAAAAAAATAAAAAAAATGATAAAAGGAATTTCAACGATTCAGCAAAGAATCACTCAGGCATGATTGAAATAACATAGGAAATGAATATGGGTCATTTTAGACCCATGTGTGTAAAACTGATGTAGAAATACAAAAACCGTGTTTGTTTATAAAACAGAAAAAAAAAAAAAAGATTTGTGGAATTGAAAAACATCATATTTAAAGACTATCTGGAATAATAAATGATAGAAAAACATTTGAGATTGAGCAAAGAACTCACCCATAACTGAAATAACATAGGAAATGAGTACTAATTCTAAAAATGAGTCATTTTAGACCCATGTTATGCATTAGAAGGGTAGTCACACTATTTTTATTAAAAATAAAAATTAAAAATAAGGATTTGTGATGATCAGAAACAAGTTAACTGAGGAATTCTGAATGATGAAATTTCTGGCAAAGACATAAAAAAAAAAAAAAAATCTAAAGTCGGTCACTTTAGACCCATGCTGTGCATCAAAGGGTTATAATCCATTCATAATCTTTAAGATTCCAACAATGCATTTTGATGTGGCCACAAAACCATACATGAAACATGCCACCCTCTAGTGGCTGCTGGGATACAAATTAAATGAAACTTACTTCAATTATACATTTAACCAATACAAAGACTTGATTTGCAGAAACTATACATTTCATTTCTGTATGTGGTTACATTACTAACACAAGTCAAACTGTTTAATAGACGCATTAAAGTATTAACTAAAATACAATAAAAAAAGGGGGGGGGGAGAAATGTTTAATGTTTAAGCAAATAAACAATTAAGATACTGAATATAAAAAAGCCAACTACAAAATGTATTTACTTAACCAATTAAATTACAGAATCCTAAAACATTGCTTTACTGTAAAGGAAATTTGTCAATGCAATAAATTAAAAATAAATAAACGAAACACATATTCAATGGTCCTAAATGCAAAGTAATATTGAAACTGTCGTGCTAAAACAAAATGCCCAAGATGTTGCACAAGTGACAAACCAGTTTTTAAAAAGGTCATCCACTGGGATTCCAAACATCTTGATTACAGACAACATTAAGGTTCAATTTGAGAGTTATGTAGTCAATGATTATTCGGAATCATAACAGATCTGCTACTGCACAAAACCCCCTTACATCAGTATAGGTTCTGCAAGTTTGGCACACTAATATTAAACTGAAACGAGATGCATGCCATTTCCCTAATTTAAAATGAGACCTATAAATAACCCATTTGAAGGTGAAAAATTCCAAAAGTGGAAAATGTTGTGCCAAAGTTGATACTTGCACACTCCCAGTTTTCAACCTGCTTCTATCGTACGCATTGATTTAAAAACCATGCCAGAAGACAGTCAAAGCATATTGGGAAAAAAATTTAAAGTTTGAAGCTTCCAACACAGAAAGAAATCAGTTCACTGCATAAGCACGCAAAATAGTGCTTCAAGGAAGTGGGTTTTCAAGCAGAACTCTTTTGGCACAAACTCCAATTAATGGAATTCCCTTTACAGCATCATGGGCAATATATTCCACCTTTAAAGTACTTCAAAGGGAGCTCACAGCAGGTCTCTTTAAAAGGTTCATATTAAATTTCCCTACCGAGAAAAGGGAGCCTTTCCTTCTGGAAAGAGAACAGGTACAGTAGGACTAACGGCTTACCCACTCTTACAGCACACTCAAAATCAAAGCTGGTTAAACTGGACAAGAAAAACCAGAAACAAGAATAGGTTTCCATCCCCATTTATTGAAAACCAGCTAAAGTCTTCTGTCGCTCTTGAACCATTACTGGACCGAGTGAGGCCTTGCCTTCCCACTGAATGCCTAGAGGGAGGCGGGGGGGGGGAAAAAAATAAATAAATAAATAAAAAAATTCCCAGGTTAGGCATCACTTCTTGTGCCAAAAGCAATCTTGTAGCAGATGCCTACCTCCAAAAGGAGAAGCAGCAATTCCACCATCAGGACCACATGTTGAGTCACAGCAATCAGTGACCAAGTGTTCACGGAACAAACAACTCTAGAGAACAGTGAATTTACCCATGATTCTCAATGAAGGAATATCTCGGAAGAGCATTCACATCAGGTACTTGGGTGGCCACACAGTGGTCCACAAACAAACGGAACATGGTTGTACACCTTCACGGATGCCTCAATATTAATAACATCACCCAGGAAGTACAAGTTTGAAGGCCTCGGATAGGACCAATCATCTGCAAGAAGAACAGTTGAAGTACAGTCTCATTCACAATGCTTAAGGTCTAAAGAAATTGCACAAACCCATCATGAGCTTCAGGGAGAACAGCAAGACTTCCTCGCCAACCACCGTTGAAGCATAAGGGACCCAAGTTGGCCTCAAGGCATTGCTGCTCACATTATGAGACCTGCGGTTCAAAGAGGCACAAAATAAACGGTCTTCCAGTTGCAACACTAGAAACAGTGCTGAAAGTCACATAAGGTCACTTACCTTTGATAGTGGCACTGAACGCCAACAACAGCACCATCGGCACGAGTAATCGGCGTGCCAGTGAGCGCCTCAGGAGTGTAGGTAAGAGCAAAGGTGTAGACAAGCTCATCCTCAGTCATCTGTAAGAGATTTCAGTTGTTACAAAAGTTTCTCCTCAGCTACAAAAATAAAAATAAAAAGATGTTTTAGCCATGCAACGGAACCACTTTTGGTTCAAGGAACCTTTCAGTGATCAGTTCTTAAAGTCCACCATTATAAGGAATGGAAAGGTCCCATGGAAAATTAAAGGTTCGAGGAATAATTGACACCAACAAAGAACCTTTATTTTTATTGGTGTACAAATAATCTAGTAAGATTTAAGTTCTTACCATCAGTACACTGTTGCAGTCCTGCAGTTCATGCTCCAAGATGAGCACCCTAGAGTTTGAGTCTCCACCAACAACGGGACATCCACCCAAAGACAATCCAGATGGCTGGATCAGTTGACCATTGCTAAAGAAGTCCTGCTTTACCTCAATCAGAACCCGATTCTCACCGCATTGAACAGCTACACTACCGGGAGTCACGGGTTGCCTTAACTGGAAGTCCACCACCATCTCGCTCTGCACCTCTGGAACAACGGGAAACCTCCAGTCCAAAGGCTTCACTGGACCCTGCAACACCTGCTTCTCCTGAAGACCAAGAGGCTCTTGTACAAATCTTCTGGAGTCAAGACTCTGAAACTGAGAAGCCTTTTGCAAAGGGTTCCAGAACCCTTGAGAAGAAAGAGCAGAACCTCCAGAAGCTGGATCTGATTGTGGCTTCACACTTCTTGGACTTTGACCGTATCTCAAACTTCCCCATGCATTCTTCAGATCAAATGCAGCGATCACACCCAGCACCAACAAAGCTTGCAGGAAGCCCATCCTAACAAACTCTGACACACTGCCCCAGTGCACATCAGTGTTAGCTTTGCTATTTAGTACAGCTTTGAATTAAGGTGGCTCCTCCCCTTTAAGCTTAATTGATTAACTTTGATTCTACTCTGGACCTGTAGAGTTTATGTATTACCAACTGAGAACGGTTAAGATCACAAATCAATAGAAAGCTTCATATGGATCTGAGATTTTAATCTTCATTTGCTCACGATTTTACAATTAAGAAACTCTGACAGTTTGTCCATTATAGAACGTTAATGCCATCTAAAAAGCATCCTAGTTCATAAAAATTATTCATTAATTATCTCTTTTTAAGTGTTTTTAGTTTAGCATAATCACTATTGTTTAATGGTAATGCCACATACATAAATACAATTTGTTGCAACAGTGAATTATACTCATATAAATGAGTAGAAATTAAAATATCAATAAATTATCAAAACGGGAGGGACTAAGCAGCGCAGATGTCATCTCCAATTGGTCAGGTACTAAATGTTATTGTCCCATTTTTAGTCTTCATTTTGTATTTTTAATTTAATGGATGTATAATAATTGCACTTTAGTGTACTACTGATTCAATCCCTGTAATGTCTGGAGATTAAACAATGAGAGAGATTCATCAATATATTGCAAAAACATTTTAGATATATTAAGAAACTATACATATTTTAGAAATATTAAGTCTCAACATCTTTTATTGACTGATACTGTTTAAGAAATACTGTACTTTACTGTAATTCTCTTAACCATTTGATGCACAAGCTATGAAAACCCCTTCTAATGCACAACATGGGTCTAAAATGGCCCGCATTCATTTCCTATGTTATTTCATACTTCGCTGGGCATTTTTTTGTTTTATCTGTTGAAATCAGTTTATTTCAGCATTTAATATTCCCTGATCTATAAATTCCATGATCCCTGAATATTCAAAATATTTTTTTACAATGACCACAAATTACAATTTGATATTTTCCTAGGTTTTTGTTACTACATCAAGTTTACACACATGGGTCAATAATGACCCATCTATGCAAGCATGATAAAACAAAAGAATAAAGACATTTTGTTAAAATATTTATTTTAGCAGTTATTTAGACCAACACATTTAACACTTGAAATATGTTTATTTGCCCCTTTGTCACACATAACATACACATATTACTGATAACCGATAACACTGAAATTGTCTGTAGTGCAACTGTAGTGAATGTGACCGAATAGAGGAAAATAAAACTAACAAAATTAAATCACACAGGTGTACAGCACCATCTCAAATTGCCATCTCAGTGCTTAAATGCCTCACAAATGACAACTACAGGTTTGTGCTCCTTGCAAACAGGCCGCCCCTAGGCAATGAGGGTGGCAACATCCAGCACATTGTACCACAGCACCACGGCCACCTCCATGTTCTCTGCTTACATGAGTAGGTGCAAACCATTTTTACTCAATCTATTGACCGGGGTCTGAGTTTGCTCTTAGAGGACTCATCAGACAAGTCTTCAATGTCATCAAATGAGTCTTCTTTATCTAGGAGAGCTGGATTCACACCCACAACTCCAGGCTGACCCTGTGGCACATGGTCTCAAGGTCATCAGCTTCAGATATTTCAGACTCTGAATCAGGACTAAGAATTGCCTGATCTTCCTCATGCAGCATCTCTACAAACATTTCAGCCATTAATCTAGAATGTCTGGGATCAACCATACTAACACTCTGGATAAAGAGTGCACAACAAGCAGTTGATCAAGTATATACTGATTATATATTGTCGCTGTCAGACAGAAACCTTGTATGTCCAAAACTATTACCTTTCAGGAACACTGACAGACATAAAGGGTGATCAATAGCACTGATTTATGACAAAAAATAAAAATGTGGAGATACGAGGTTTTACATATTATTTTGACTTTTATTTTGTTTACCTAGCTAACATTAGTTAGCTAGAATAGAATGTCAACAACAAGCTAGATAATAGTATTGGTCACTAGTAATAGATTTCAAGGTAACCTTGATTTTTGACCCATATGTGTAAAATTGATGTAGAAACACAGTGTTTTTTTTTTTATAAAGTAAAGAAAGGACAAATAAACAATGATTTATGGAAATCAAAAACAAGATATTTAATGAATACCTGGAATAAAAAAAAAAAAAAAAATTCTTTCAAAGATTCAGCAAAGAATAATTTAGGCATGATTGAAATAACATAGGAAAGGAATACGGGTCATTTTACGTGTAAAATTTACAACCCATGTGTGTAAAACTGATGTAGAAATACAAAAACTGTGTTTATAAAGTAAGGAAGGAAAAATAAACAAAATGATTTGTGGAAGTCAAAAACAACATGTTTAAAGACTGGAATAAATGATAGAAAAACGTTTCAGAGATTCAGCAAAGAAACACTCAACCATAACTGAAATAACATAGGAAATGAATACGAGTCATTTTAAACCCATGCTGTACATTAGAAGGGTAGTGACAAACTATTTTTATTCAAAAAGAAAGAAAAAATAAGGATTTGTGATGATCAAAAACAAGTTAAATTGAGGAATTCCTGGAATTCTGAATGATGAAATTAATTTCTTGCAAAGATATATAACAAACTGTCAGGTCACTTTATACCCTTGTTGTGAATCAAAGGGTTAAAATCCATTCATGTTCTTTAAAGGGGTCATATGATGCTGCTAAAAAGAACATTATTTTGTGTATTTGGTGTAATGAAATGTGTTTATGCAGTTTAAGGTAAAAAAAAAAACATTTTCCACATAATGTACATTATTGTTTCTCCTCTATGCCCCGCCTTTCTGAAACGCTTCGATTTTTACAAAGCTCATAGTTCTGAAAAGCGAGGTGTGCTCTGATTGGCCATCTATCCAGTGCGTTGTGATTGGCTGAATACCTCAAGCGTGTGACAGAAATGTTACGCCCCTTACCATACTGTTTCCATGTGTCCCGGCGCGACGACACAAAACCAATAAATGTTACGCCCCTCACATACTGTTGATGCCGTGTCCCGGCCGGAGCGACGAGACAAAAACACTAAAACCCATTACAAACGAGGCATTTGTTGCATCCAGTGGGGACATAATTACTGATTGTAATGACTTATACTGTGTTTTTACGCTTTGCTTTGCGTATTGCGCCGCGTAAACATAAAACCATGTCTGCATTTGTGATCGGAGAAATGCCAAACAATAAGTGCTACTCTACACTGCTCAAACTCGCGTTTGAATCATCAGTGGCAAATTCTTTAAATATAAAAAAATGTACTTACAGGCTGTGAGTCAGAAGCGCCAGACTGTCCTTGCAAAGTTGGAACTGCCCCACTTTATAGAAACATTATGTCCTCTTATCTTGCTAGATCTGTCCGCTGCTTTTGATACGGTATTCATATCACTGCTATGCTGATGACACTCAACTCTACCTCTCATTCCATCCTGATGATCCGACAACAGCTGCTCACATCTCAGCATGTCTAACACACATTTATTGTTGGATGACGGACCTTCACCTTCAACTCAACCTGGCTAAGACAGAACTGCTTGTGGTTTCAACAAACCCATCACTTTATCAATTTCACCATCCAGTTAGGCTCATCAAACATAACTCCTTCAAAAACAGCTAGAAACC